GCCGTGTGTTTGCAAACCTCATGAAGTTGAAGCCATTAGTGTTCGCGAAGCTCTAAAATGGATCAAGGCTCTCCATTTTGACAACTACCAGATTGAGAGTGATTGCCTTCAAGTTATTAATGGCATTTTACATGATCACAGTCTATTATCTTCTTTTAGTCTCATCCTTAATGACATTAGAAAACTAGCTTCTGTTTTTGCTAACGTTAGCTTTATATTTGTAAAACGGTCTGCGAATAGGGTTGTCCATTTGCTAGCTCGAGAAACCCTTTCTTTGTCTGACTGTTCGGATTGTTCTTAGGTTCCCTTTTCTTCCATTGCTCGTGCTTTGAGCTTGGATGCTACTTAATGAATTTCTCGCTTTTGGTTTTCAAATAATAATAATAATAATAATAATAATAATAATAATAATAATAATAATAATAATAATAATAATAATAATAATAATAATAATACTTGCGGTGAAAGTTGCGAATAAAGGGGAAGAGAAAAGGGTTTTAATTTGGAAGGGTAAATTATGTCATTTCTTAAACATAATAAGGATAAAGATAAAAAAAAAGTTAGGAAGCTAGGAGCTTATTTTGAAACGCTACCTAAAGTAGCGTTCCAAAATAAGCTCTTATTTTAAGCTAGGAGCTTATTTTGGGAACATTATCAAACAGAGATTATAGCTTATTAGTAGCTTAAAATAAGCTATAAGCTCCTAAATAAGCTCTGAAGTATACTTACCTTAATAATTAATTATTAATATAATTATTTTATTTTTATTTAAGGTAATTATTATGATAATATACTTCTCATTCCTTTTTTTTTTCGTGTAATTATTATCGTAATTTTATGGTATATTAGAATTGCCTACAATTTCATCTTTAATTTTATTATCTAAATTTATAATAAAAAATGTTTATCTGTGCATTGAACAGTAATTTACTAGAGTGACTGCTATGTCATTGCTAGAAATCTTTGATTTTCCAACCACCTAAAAAATGGCCGAAAAGTGACATTTTCAATTTTTCGTCGGTGGGGAAATAGGTTAGAATTTCCGACCACATTTACTTAGTGGTCGGAAATACCGACCACAAAGTAAAAGCGATCGAAACAAAATTTCGGCAGTTTAAAAAATTTAAATTGAGTCCGGAATTTATGCCAATCTTTCTAGTAGTTGATTTTTTCCGATCACTTTACAAAATTGGATGCTATTTCCGACCACCTTTTCGGTGATCGAAAATAGCAACAAAGGTTTTTTCTGGATACCAAAAATGGTCGGAACAAGAGCTTCCGACTTGATTTAAGATCACTTTCAAGTGGTTGGAAATTTTTTGATTTCCAGCCGTGTGTGTTTCTCTGATATATTATTATTGTTTTTTTTAAAAAAAAAAATCATCTCTCTCACTCCATTATTTGTGTTAATAAAATTAAAATCATGTAAAAAAAAGTATTTCTTATATAGGGATTAAAAATTTATAAAGAATTTACTAATATAGAGATATAAACATTATTTGTGAAAACAAAAAAAAATCTCATTCTTTTCCATATCCATAGTTAGGGAAATCATATTTGTTGCAATCACTTTTAATGTTTAAAAAAATATTTCAAAAATAAATAAAAATTCGTATATAATTTTAAATTTTTTACTATACAAAAATTTATTAATTGCATTTAGTTTGTTGTTTTTTTATTTTCTTTTATCGTATATCATTTTTGTCGTATATCCTTAATGTAATCGAGTCAGTAGTACTAAAAAAAAAAACTTAATTTTAACTCATTTTAAATATGTAATACCATAAAAATAATCTAAAATATAAATTATACGTTCTGAAATAGGTGACAGAGTGAGTTAAATATGATACTTTATTAAAAGGTCATATCATATGTTTGATTATTGTTAACCCCGTACATTGCCATTTTAAAATGACATTCTAAAAATTAATATTCTAATTTTTTCGCAACCATTCTGCATTAGTATTAGGATAAGAATCTGGCACCAGTCATAAAAAATGATTACCATTTAATTTCGTAACTATCCAATATTTCTTCTCCCATCACAAGCTTATACATTAATGTTTGTATTATATTAAAATGTGGAATAAATTAATATTTATTTAATAAATCGGCCGCTACACAAAACACATATGATCTCATAAACGTCTTGATTGTTGGGAATTATGAGCCTTTGCATTTTTTACTTCGTAGAGGTTCTGCAAAAGATAAGGTTGGTTTGGCTTCCTAGAAACCAGACTCCTCTGCAAAACCTATCTACCGTGAACTAAATGCAAGCTTGACTGCCAGCTGCAATATATGGTTGGCACTTGGCAGGTGCAATAATTAAGACTCGTTTCAGCCTAGTAAATACACAGGATAAGAATAATGTTTTCAAACATTTAATTCACCGTAGTAGTGGGCTATAAGAAGACTTAGAGACAAGTCTTTGTTGGTGGTTAGTTTTAGAGAAGACTTGACAGTTGGTGGTGTAATTAATTTGCATGCACCGTCAAAGATCAATCACCAGTGTGGCAGTGTCCCACAATTGATTAATTTAGAGAAGACTTTAATTTGCTCCGTCAAAAAGTGCATGTAAGAATATTCAAAAAATCATTCTTTCACGGCAACAATAAAAAGCGATACACTTGAAAATAAATTTTATAGACATTTAGACGTGAGCTTCTCTTGCAACACTATATTTGTTCTCTTCCATATAAGACATTAAGACGGATTGATTTCTGTTAGAAAACTGAGTACAAAAAATAGGTTGTTCAATTATCAGTGATTGAATTCCTTCCATGGTTCCACATGAGAAACAAGCTTGAATCAATATCATCTTTAAACATTACGAGTAATTTTTTCAAAAGGTTTTTTTTTTTTCAAAAGTTAGTTTGTTCAAAAATGGAGATGTTTATAACTAGATGAAAATGATGTTGACACAATACAGCAAATTTTTGAACATCATTCGATTATTATAGTTGGATGAAGATGATTCACGGCACTTTGGTTGCATATTGAAGCTGTGACTGCTATCGAAAACAAATAACCTATCTATATAAAACAAACGACTTAGATTTAAGGAAGAAGAAGGAAGATACTTTTTTAAATCTCAAAATTGCCCTTTAGGTTTGACTTGCAAATAACACTTAGGACCAAAGCAGGTAAAAATGTCATAGTCGCGGACCAAATTGAGTAATTTTAGTAGTCGAAGACCAAATTGGTGAAATCCTCATAATTGACAGACCAAATCGGTAATTTTCTCCTAAAATATATTACACGTATCACTGTTATAGTCAAGGGAACAAAATGAGTACTAACTATTATTATGTGATAGTCGAGGAACCAAAATGGGTATTATTATTATTATTGTTATTATTATTATTATTAATCTATGGTTAAATTTATCCCTGCAAGTCTTCTAACGAGCTGCAACTATAGACTAAAGAAACTTGATATGTATATAATCTCATGCATTCACTTGAATTCAAAGCATCCCAAAATTGTGATAGATATAATTTTGTTTGTGCAATATAATGAAAACTCCACTCCTTGAATGCCGCCTTTTCTTCTTCATATCCTCCTGCTTGCTGCTCCAAATGGTGGCAGCCCAAGCCCAGGCCCAATGCTTGAGCCATCAGAAAATGTTGTTGTTGCAGTTCCGCAGCAGCCTCAAGTTCGACCCAATATATTCAACCAAGCTTGCGCGCTGGAACCACAGCACACACGACGACTGTTGTGTTTGGCCTGGTGTGGAATGTGACACCTCAGGTCATGTCGTCAGCTTGATTCTCGACGATGAATCCATTAGAGCAGATGGTATTCACAGTTCAAGTGCTCTATTCAGTCTTCAATATCTTGAGACCCTAAATTTGGCTTTCAACGACTTCAATTCCACTCGAATTCCAGTTCAGATCTATAATCTTACCAACTTGACATACCTCAATTTGTCAAATGCTTGGTTTGGAGGGCAGATCCCGAATGGAATATCAAGACTCACAAGGTTGGTAACTCTTGAGCTCTCAAATCTTGATCTTGAGATTCCAAATCTAAACCAATTCTTTGAGAACTCCACTCAACTTAGACAACTTTATCTTGATGGTGTTGATCTTTCCAGTACAGTAGTACATCCAAAATTCTTATCCAATTTCTCTAACCTGAAGACCTTGAGCCTTGGTGTTTGTAACCTGCAGGGAGAATTTCCAAGAGAGATATTTCAGATACAAGGTTTAGAGGAATTGATTTTGGAAGGCAATAGGAACCTTCGTGGCAGTTTCCCATCATTTCCTGAGAATGGATCACTTAGGATGATCTCAGTAGCTCTCACTCAATTTACTGGTTCCTTGCCAGCATCCATTAGTAATCTTAGCAACTTGTCTAGGATCGATCTCTCAGACTGCAATTTCAGTGGATCAATTCCCTCTACCATGGCACAACTTACTAGTCTCACTTATGTGGATTTCGCGCTTAACAAATTCACTGGCTCAATCCCAATTTTTCAATCGTCAAAGAACCTTACTTACATAGATTTGTCTTTTAATGGCCTGACAGGTCCACTTTCTTCTAAACATTTTGAAGGCCTTTCAAAAATCGTATACTTACATTTAAGTTCAAATTTGATCTCTGGAAGAATTCCCTCATCCCTGTTTTCACTATCTTTACCGAGTCTAGATCTTTCCCACAATTCATTTGATGGCCTTGTTGATGAATATGTGAATGTATCTACCTCACAATTAGAATGGCTCGATTTGAGTTCAAACCATCTAATTGGGTCAGTTCCAAGGTACTTCTTTGAATTTCCCATGTTGAGTCACTTGAATCTTTCTTCCAACTCCTTAAGTGGGAAGATACCATCATCTCTGTTTTCACTTCCATCATTGGTGAATCTATATCTTTCCAACAATTCATTTGATGGTCTTGTTGATGACTATGTGAATGTATCTTACTCACAATTGGAAAGTCTCGATTTGAGTTCTAATCGTCTAAATGGGTCTTTTCCAAAGTACTTCTTTGAATTTCCCATGTTGAGTCACTTGGATCTTTCTTCCAACTCCTTAGGTGGGAAGATACCATCATCTATGTTTTCACTTCCATCATTGACAGATCTAGATCTTTCCAGCAATTCATTTGATGGCCTTGTTGATGAATATGTGAATGCATCTACCTCACATTTGGACCGTCTCAATTTGAGTTCTAATCGTCTAACTGAATTTTGTCCAAAGTACTTCTTTGAATTTCCCATGTTGAGTCACTTGGATCTTTCTTCCAACTCCTTAAGTGGGAAGATACCATCATCTATGTTTTCACTCTCATCATTGGTGAATCTAGATCTTTCCGACAATTCATTTGATGGTCTTGTTGATGACTATGTGAATGTATCTGACTCACATTTAGTTAGTCTTGATTTGAGTTCTAATAGTCTAAATGGGTTTTTTCCAGAGTACTTCTTTGAACTTCCAGTGTTGAGTGAGTTGATTCTTTCTTCCAACTCCTTAGGTGGGAAGATACCATCATCTCTGTTTTCACTTCCATCATTGTATTTAGATCTTTCCAACAATTCATTTGATGGCCTTGTTGATGAATATGCGAATGCATCTACCTCACAATTGGAAAGTCTCAATTTAAGTTCTAATCGTCTAAATGGATCTTTTCCAGAGTACTTCTTTGAATTTCCAATGTTGAGGTGGTTGATTCTTTCTTCCAACTCCTTTGGTGAAATGATAGAGTTTGAAAGTCTCCAAAAGCTCACCAACCTCATAGCATTAGATTTGTCTAACAATGAAATTAGAGGGGAAATACCATCATGGATATGGGAACTGGGTAATGGAACTCTATATTATCTGAATCTTTCTTGTAATTTCTTAGAGAGTCTTGAAAAGCCTTATACAATTCCAAGCGGTCTTGGTGTACTTGACCTGCACTCAAATCAATTGCGAGGCCCACTTCCTATTCCACCTGCCTGTAATGATGGTCAGGATGGACCTATTCATCTTGATTACTCACACAATTTTTTCAATGGTTCCATCCCATTTGGTCTTGGGATTTTTGCTAGAAATGCTTATTTCTTGTCCCTTGCAAATAATAGCTTCACCGGGACAATTCCTGAATCTATATGCAGTGGTAGCTGTCATCTTGTAATACTTGATCTATCCGACAATAAACTGGGTGGCACACTTCCGTCCTGTCTATTTAACAGTTTTGACCGTCTTGGAGTATTAAACCTTGGGAAAAACCAAATTCATGGTACCATACCCGATTCCTTTACAATTTATTGTTCTCTACAAACATTAGACCTCAGCAGGAATTCCTTTGAAGGGAAGATTCCAAAATCCCTGATAAATTGTTCACTGTTGGAAGTTCTGAATGTTGGGAGCAACAACATTGTAGATACCTTCCCATGCGCATTGAAGATCTTATCAAGTCTGTGTGTGCTAGTCTTGCGATCCAATAACTTCCACGGTGACCTTCACTGTGTTAATGCCAATCATATGTGGCCAAATTTGCAGATTATTGAAATTGCTTCCAATAATTTCAGTGGAAAACTCTCCCCGAAGTTCTTAAACTGGAAAAGAATGATTATTGATGAAGATACTGCACAATCGGGACAATATATCATGTTTAACTACATTGCTACAATTGGAGAAAAATCAGATGATCCATTTGAATACTACCATGATATATTAATGGTAACCTGGAAAGGGATCGAGATGGAAATGGTGAAACTTCTCAAAGTCTTCACATTTGTTGATTTCTCATGTAATAATTTCTATGGGGTTATACCGGAATCTATTGGGGTTCTCACTTCACTTTACGCTCTCAACCTATCACATAATGGTCTCACAGGAAATATCCCTGAAACAATTGGAAATTTGAAAATGATTGAATCATTGGACCTTTCAGCAAATCAGCTAGGTGGAGAGATCCCGACAGAGCTAGCAAAACTCACATTCCTTTCAGTCTTGAATTTATCATTCAACTTCAGACTTTCTGGTATGATTCCAACAGGCAATCAACTTAATACATTTGGACCAGATTCTTACCTAGGAAATCAAAAACTATGTGGTTTTCCTCTCCCAAAAAGTTGCAAATCACCAAAAACTTCCAATGGCGGTCGATCTGAGATAGAATTTGATGGTGGCCCCTCTGAGATCAAATGGGAATACATAACTTGTGCTTTGGGATTTGCTGTGGGTTTAGGGGCATACCTGTGGATGCTTTTGCATAACAAGAGATGCAGGGAAGCATACCAACAACTTGACGAAGTTTTAATACGGCTATTCGGTCCCCGACAACGCGGAAGAAAATCTCCAGGACCAAGACGCAGAGTTCACAAGAACAGGTTCTGATAACTCGCTGCAACCTTCAGGTAATCTTGATTACTTCCAATATGGCACAAATTTTTCATATAAACACCGTTGATCACACACCAAACACTTTTTTTCTAAGTCGATATGTTTATTCACTTCACTTTTGTAGGTATGAATGCTGAGATCAGTGATTATGGTGGTGATACCTCAGCTCTCATTGCGTGCATTTTTTTTGGTGTTATTATCATCTGGACAATATTTAAGTGTAATAACATTTGAAGGTGTTTCATGTTTTTGTGCTATTTGTTTTAATTAATAAAACTTTCAAATCTATCCTTGTGTTTGTAAGTTTTCGTGTTGTAAATATTTTTTGTGCTAAAGTGAGTGATTTCATCCTTGATAATTGGGGTTGGGACTTGCCAAAACTTAGTGACATCTTCTCGCACGATCTCTTTGAGTGTATTTGGGTGATCCCGATCCTGGCTAAATTTGCCACGGTTGACAAGTTTTGTTGGCAATATTTGCCGTCAGGTAAATTTTTGGTTCGTTCTGCTTTTATTTTGATTGCAGGTAATCAGAAGGGGGAAGATCATAAGAGTTTGCCTGGATCGATCAGTTGCATGGAGAAAGTGAAGTTGTTCGTGTGGCTCGTGATCAACAAAAAGCTTCTAACTAACGTGGAACGCCACAACATGCACTTGGCTGACAACATGGATTGCTCGGTGTGTGGGGAGGAGGAGAAGAGCCGGCTGACAACGTGGATTACTCGGTGTATGGGGAGGAGGAGAAGAGCCTTATCGATGACCTCTTCCATGGTTGTGTTGCGGCATGGGACTATTGGCATGCTTCTCCTAGCCTAGATCCATTCTCCTCGTTCATGTTCTAGGTTAAGGATGATTGCTCTGGTCAGGAATAGCTCAATGATGGGACGATTTAGGGGGTTAAATTCTCTTACACTCGTTGGAGGCTGGAAGGCACGGAACAACAAGGTGTTCAATGGAGTTCGTAGGAATGCCAATGAGGTTATTGATACGACTCTTGGCTAAAAGGAATACAACTTATAGGGGTAAAGGTATGTGGATCGGCTAGTCTCTCTCCCTCCCCCCTCCCCCCATGAAGGTTGGGTTAAGCTTAATACAGATGGAGCCAAGAAGCATTTGATGAGGTGGGTTATTACGAGATTCTCAAGGGAGCTGGATAGTAGGCTTTGTGGTCAACATTGGTGTCATAAGTAGTTTCTTTGCTTAGTTGTGGGGCCTAAGGGAGGGTCTATGACTTGGTAAAGAATGAGGTTTTCGACGGTTAGTTGTGGAATTGGACACGGAGGCGGTGGTCAAGGTGATGAGTAAAAACCATGATCTTAGTGACACAGTCATCACACTCATCTCTAATTGTAAATTCATTCTCTCGGGGTCTTAGGAGGTTATCTTCACACAGATTGTGAGGGAAGAAAATAGGTGTGCTGATCTCGGTCAATTTACAGAAATGGGAACAACAATTCTTGAAGCACCCCCAGAAGATATGTTGAGGCTCCTAGTTGCTATTGCTAGCGGAACAAAATTTAGAAGAGTTAGATAGTGTCCTTAAGAAGGTAGCCATTATCACCAAAAAAAAACATTAAATTAATTTTCAATTTAGTCATGGACTATATCAATATTATTTATTTAATTTAATTTTTGACTAATAATTTGATTTAAATTTAACTTCAACTTTAATGGTTGTGTCTGATTTATTCATTCGTCTAGAATTCCACCGCAGCTTCCGATTATTTTCTTAGATCCTTTGCACTAGGACCTTCATTGCGAAACATGGTTGATAATGCATGAAACATTCCCCTATACTGATAAGGAGAATTTTCTGTCCATACAATAATTCAACCTCCAACCATGTCCATTGAGTATGTTGTAGACATGGCAATTATGCCAGCACCAAGACGCAACAGATCATAGGAGTGAGCCCTCATTGCCAAGTTGCTCATTGTATAGCCATAATATACCTTTAAATAATCCTCTGAAGCCTATAGTAATATGTTTAAACGCTCTAAAAGAGCAAAAGTTACGTTGTTCGTGACTCGCTGCTAGCAACACCACGAACCCCTATCTGGGAGCTGACCCAACGAACATAATCAATTGTTGAGGCATCAGACTCATCACTGTTACATCACCTTCAAAGCAATTACACTTAAATATTCTCAAATTACTCACACAAAAAAAAATACTAGATAGACTTACTAGAGTACAAAACCAAACCCAAAATAATTACAAAAATGCAAAATATGCAAACTGAGAGCTATCACCACCACAATAACTGAGCTCAGCATCCATACCTACAAAATGAAGTACTGGAGTGAATAATCAGCTTAGGAAAAAGTGTTTGGTTTGTGATCAACAGTGTTTAAATTTTTCATGAAGCAAATTATCAAGATTACCTGCAGGCTGCAGCTTAGAGTGATCTGATTCGCTTCCTGTGAAGTCTGCGTCCTGGAGATTTTCTTCCTCGACCGGATAGCCTTACTAATACTTTGTCAAGTTGTTGGTATGCTTCCCTGCATCTCTTGTTATGCAAAAGCATCCAAAGGTAAGCCCCTAAACCCACAATGAATCCCAAAGCAGAAGTTACGTATTCCCATTTGATCTCAGATTGGTCACCATCCAATTCTATCTCAGATTGGCCGTCATTGGAACTTGTTCTTGATTTGCAACTTTTTGAGAGAGGAAGACCACACAGTTCTGGATTACCCAAATAGGAACTTGCTTCAAATGTATTAAGTTGATTGCCTGTTGGAATACTACCAGAGAGTCTATTGAATGATAGATTCAAGACTAATAGGAACGACAGATTTGCAAGTTGTGCTGGGATCTCTCCACCTAGCTGGTTTGATGAAAGATCTAAGGACTCAATCATTTTCAGATGTCCAATTGTTTCTGGGATGTTCCCTGTGAGAGCATTGTGTGAAAGATTGAGAAAGTAAAGTGAATTGAGAGCCCCAATGGTATCTGGTATGATCCCATTGAAATTATTGCTTGAGAAATCAACAGATGTGAAGACTGTTAGAATTTTCACAAGTTCTGTCTCCATCCCTTTTATAGTTACCATTACTCTATCTTGGTAGTAGAAATTATTAAGTCTCAAGAAATCAAACCTGATGTGTTGCACTGGTTGCACCGTATCTTCACCAAAAATCATTCCTTTCCAGTTCAAGAAGCATTTTGGAGAGAGTTTGCCACTGAACTTATTGGAAGCAATATCAATAATCTGAAGATTCGGCCAGCTATGATTGGCATTACCACAGTGAAGCTCACCATGGAACTGATTGGATTGCAAGACTAGGACACGCAAACTAGATAAGTTTTCCAATAGGCATGGAAAGGTATCTACAATTTTGTTGCTCCCAACATTCAGAACTTCCAATGACGAACAATTTATTAGAGATTTTGGAATCTTCCCATCAAAGAAATTCCTACTGAGGTCTAATGTTTTTAGAGCACAATTACTTGAGAAGGAATCAGGTATGTTACCATTGATTTGATTTTCCCCAAGGTTTAGTACTCCTAGGATCCCAAGATTGCTGAATAAACAGGATGGAAGTATGCCACTCAGCTTATTTTTGGATAGATCAAGCACCTGCAGATAGCTTGTATTGCATATGGATTCAGGAATTGTCCCAGTGAAGCTATTTTTTGAAAGAGACAAGAAAGAAGCATATGGAGCATAACTCCCAAGATCAAACGGGATGGAACTGTTGAAAACATTGTTTGAGTAATCAAGATACATAGCATCCAAGGCTGGGGCTACTCCAATCGGAAGTTCGCCATGCAGTTGATTTGAGTGCAAGTCTAGTACTGAAAGACTAGTTGGAATTGTATAAGGCTTTTCTAGACCATCTAAGAAATTGTGGGAAAGATTCAGGTGAACCAGATTTCCATTACCCACACTCCATATCCAGTTTGGTATTTCCCCTCTAATTCCATTGTCTGATAGGTCTAAATGGATCATACTTGATTGAGTTCTAAGATCCGGAAATTTTTGTAATTGACAAGAAGCCATTTTCAATATTGTAATCTTGGGAAAGAATGAGAAGGCCGAACTACTGCTACTTACGTCAACTGACAAATTGTTGTGAGAAAGCTCAAATCTTGTGAGGTTCTTGAGCTTTTGGAGACTTTCGAACTGTATCCTTCCACTGAAGGAGTTGGAAGAAAGTAATAGCACATTCAGCTTTGGAAATTCAAAGAAGTACTCCGGAATGGGCCCATTTAGACGGTTAGAACTCAAGTCGAGTGTATCCATTTGAGAGGCAGATACATTCAGGTATTCATCAACTTGACCATCAAATTTATTGTTTGAAAGCACAAGTTTCTGCAATGATGGAAGTGAAAACAGAGATTGGGGAATTCTTCCAGAGAGTAAATTAGACATTAAATCTATATTCACAATTTCTGAAAGGCCTTCGAAATGCTTGGAAGAGAGTGGACCTGTTAGGCCATTATGAGAAAAATCTAAGTAGATAAGGTTCTTTGAATGCTGGAAATGTGGGATTGAGCCAGTGAAGTTGTTAAATGAGAAATCCACATAAATAAGACTCATAAGTCTTGCCATTGTAGAAGGAACTGATCCACTGAATTTGCAGTTGCTGATATCTATCCTGGACAAGTTGCTAAGCTTACTGATGGAAGGGGGCACTGAACCAGAAAATTGAGTGTAACCTACTGAAATCACCCTAAGGGATCCATTCTCTGGAAATGATGGGAAGCTGCCACTAAGATTCTGATTGCCATGTATCATCAGTTCCTCTAAACTTTTTGTCTGAAAGATCTCTCCTGGAAATGCACCCTGTAGATTACAAGAGCCCAGGCTCAAGGTCCTCAAGTTTGAAAATTTTGCCAAAAACTTGGGGACAGTACTGGAAAGATCATTTTGATCTAGGTGGATAGCAGAAAGGAAATGAAGTTTCTCAAGGGAAGGATCAATAGGGCCTGAAAGTTGACAGTTTCGCAAGCTCAAGACTGTTAAATTTGGCAAAGATGAAGATAAGGCCTGACACCAGTCACTCCTTTGAGCAGAAAGATCAACACCATCAAGATAAAGTTGTCTAACTTGTATGGAGTTGTCAAAGAATTTGTTTAGATTTGGATTCTCAAGTTTAAGTGGTGGACCTATTGGAAAGAGGGTTGAGAGATCAAGAGTAACCAACCTTGTGAGTCCTGATATTCCAATCGGAATCTGCCCTCCAAAACCAGCATTTGACAAATTGAGATATGTCAAGTTGGTAAGCTTGTAAATCTGAACTGGGATTGGAGTGGAATTGAAGCTGTTGAAGGCCAAATTTAGCTTCTCGAGGTATTGAAGACTGAGTAGAGCCCTTGAATTCTCAATCCCACCTGTAATCGTCTCATTGTCGAGAATCAAGGCAGTGACATGGCCTGAGGTGTCACATTCCACCCCAGGCCAAACACAACATTCCCTGCTCTGGTTCCAGTGTGCAAGCTTGATTGAAAGTGTTGGGTCGAACTTGAAGCTGCCCTTCAGCTGGAGCAACTTCGATCTCTGGTCGCTCTGGCATTGGCCGGAGACCACAAGGATGTCCATCCCAAATATTATCTGCAACAGCAGCAGCAAAAGCCATGGAAGGAATGAAGTTTTCATCATATGGCACAAAACTGCCGCAAGCGGAGAAGGCTTAATTTAATCACTGTTTTCTAGATGGATGGTCTATTGGTCTTTGGTCTGAAGTTAATTAGTTAATGAGATAACGAAAAATAGTTGTAGTCAAAATTGGGTTCCCAAGTTGTTGTCTTCTTGAAGCCAATCTTATCTATGTAGTGAACGAGTCAATTTGTCATGGAAAGAGCATTTTCTCCTTTTTAACATTCAAGTTCACAACTGGAGTCCTCTTCAGTTTTGGGCTCTTGGCATATCATCTTGAAACGAATTGAAGGAATATATGCCGAATGAAAGGTGGCCGGATAGCTTTTACAGAATTACAAAGAAATAAATCTGCTGCTAAACGGTATCAAAGTTTGGCTTCATAGTAGGACGTTAACGAACCGAACACGAACAAACAAAGATAGTTCATGTTGGCTTGTTATGATTTTTAAAGTATTTGTTTTTGTGTTTTTTGTTCGTTAAAGTTTTCGAAAATCTTGTTTATTTATTTATTTACATGTTTATTAGTGTTTATTAATATTCGTGAACGCTAAACAAACAAATACATATACATGTTCATAATCATAATTTATTTATAAATAAAAATTAATTTATGTCACAAACAATCATCAAACAAACAACATAATGAGAAGATTTTAATCTCTGGAGATATGCTTGCCATGAAACATTTTGTCGCTATCTACGCGTCCTTATTGTTAACGTTGTTCAATAGGCCTAATTTAGTAAGAAAAAGTTGTCTTTTGAAGAGGAAAATTTATAATAATATTATTAATCCTTGAGTCAATATAAGATAATAATAATAATAATTTTTATACTTTTCCCATAGAAAAACTGGATTTTTAAAACTTATTATAATTGATTGATTAAAAATGTATTTTAAAATTAATAAAATTAGAAGTCACTATCATATAATTTTAAGGTATATTAACTATATCAATTACACAAAATACTATCATGCTACATAATATTGATACTACCCAACTTCACAAACAATCCATTAAGGTAAAATTTTGCGTAGACTTATGAATCTTTATCTGTGAAACGGATCAAGTTGTATAAGTATCAAAACTTCAATTATAAGTAATATAATATTTGTCATTAGTAACATTCAACTTTATCTTAATATAATAGGAAAAAGTGTTAAATTGGCGCCCTAAGTCGAGTGGATAGTGCAATTAGGTCCCTTAAGTGAAAAAAACTTCATTCAGGTCCCCTAAACCTGTAAAATTGTTCAATTAAGCCCAAGTTGACTTGTTTATCAGGTTAAATGCATACGATGTTGACACGTGTCCTTATTTTATTTTTTTATTAAAAGTATTATTTATTTTAAATTAATTAAAATAATAATAATAATAATAATAATAATAATAATTAAAAAATAAAAAAATATATAAAAAAATAAATAAAAACAGCCACCCACGACTTTTTTTTAAAAAAAATTCTTTTTAATAATAATTATTATTAGAGAAAATTTCAATTTTGGTCCACTGACTATTGGGGTTGTGTTAATTGCAACACTTGACTTTCAAAAATGATAATTTAGTACCTTGACTATGCAATTTCTATCAATTTTGGTCACGCCGGTCAAATTGCCGGCCAAATCTCACCAGAAAAATTTAATAGGTCAATTTATGAGGGTATTTTAGTAATTTTACTCCTCTGTTTTCTTCTCCAATGATATTCCCAATTTCCGGTGATGAGTTTTTCTTCGCCGATCAAGAAAACGCAGCCCAGTGCCGCTCAGACTTTGATTTCCCTTGAATTTATAAGGATTCAATTGTGGGTAAGAAGAGGAAACAATAGAGGAAACACTTGAAAGAAAAAATCAATTGATTAATATCTAATGACCCTATAACATCAAATCATTCATCCCAGAAGCAAATTGAGCAATATTTCAAGCAACATTAATCCATTTCTTATCGTACAGAATCAAAGCATTTAGAATAAAGTTCAAAGGAATGGATAAAAAGCTTAAGATTCACCTCCATTTGGCGCATATACTCATAAATCTCAGAAACATAGGCGGCGCACATCTGTGGTGCTTCTTTTCTGGGCAAAAATGTTTGAGATTTCGATGAAGAAGAAGAAGATCTTATACCTGCAACTTCTGCAGAAGAGAGTTCCGGTCCGCTCAAGCTCTGGGCGGCCACATGAAAGTGCATAAAAGAGATAGGGCAAGGTTGAAGCAGTCTCCCCGTCTGATAATGGAGGAGATTTAGGTGTTCCAATCAGTAATAATCCCCGGCGGCCCCTTCTTACTCAATACTACCCTTCTCAAGCTTCTACCTTTCTGTACAATCCCACTTCCGATCGTAGAAGGAATCTCGCCGGAAATGGAGGGAAGTTCATCGGAGAAGAAGAAAGAACACGAGTAAAAAGACTAAAATACCCTCATTATTTGCCATATTATAATTTTCCGGTGAGATTTGACCGGCAATTTGGCCGGCGTGACCAAAATTGATAGAAATTGCATAGTCAAGGTACTAAATTATCATTTTTTAAAGTTAAATGTTGCAATTAACACAACCCCAATAGTTAGTGGACCAAAATTGAAATTTTCTCTTATTATTATTTTAATTAATTTATAATAAATAATATTTTTAATAAAATATAAAATAAAATAAGGACACGTGTCAACACCGTATGCATTTAACCTGATAAACAAGTCAACTTGGACTTAATTAAACAATTTTACAGGTTTAGGAGACCTGAATGGAGTTTTTTTTCACTTAGGGGGCCCAATTGCACTATCCACTCGACTTAGGGGGCTAATTTGACGCTTTTTCCTTAATAATATCACAATTTCATATATAAGTATTACAATATCTAACATAAGTAATGATTTATTTTTAATTCAATTTGGTATTAAATTTTCTATAATAAGTAATGTAATTTTTTTAATAAGTATTACAATATTTACATTATAATTGGAATTACACTTTGTAAGTATCACAATTTCAATTATAAATATTACAATATTTATCATTAATAATTATATTACCCTAAATAGTATCACAATTTCACATATAAATATTACAATATATATTATAAGTAACAATTTTTTTTAAATAAAAGGCTAATTCATTAATCATAAGCAGAAATGTTTACAATACAGATCGTTAGAATGACAATGCATTCTTTACAGTCAGACATAGAAACAAATTTCCTAGCAATGTTATAGAAAACTTGGATCGCAGACTGTTTTACAAATTTGAAGTCGAAGTTGTTGGATGAACTCGGTGTTTCTTCACAGATCTGGTCAAACATAGCCAAGACTGACTCTGGTGAGGCCATTTTATCATGCCACGCTTATGAGGAGAACTCACCAAAGAAACGAGAGGAAAACTCGCCAAAGAGACGAGAGGGAAACACTCGCCAGAGAGACGAGAGAAAACAAACTAGTCAAAGAAACAAAGGGATAACGTAGAACCAAAAGAAAACAACATAAACAGAAAAGAGTGTAGAAAACCTGTCAGATCTGTAGAGTCTCTGAAGCCTTCTCTGAAAAAACAATCGGAGATGATCTGAGATCTAACACTTATTCCTAAAACAGTCGGAGGATGAAGTCTACTAATAGCACTGCCGGCTCAACCCTCCACCAGAGCGTCAGCCGGCAGCACCAAGTCGCCGAACCTTTACTTCGTGGGAGCAGACGACGACAATGGGAGAGAAAGCGGTTAAAGTTGGTATTAAATATTCTGTAATAAATATTATGATTAACAAACAACTATCCTATTAGATTAGACTCATCTCAAACAAGTATGACTCAAAGTGAAATAATTTAGGGGTCAAATGTGTTTTATTTTCCCTTGATTTTATTTGCATATTTAGTTATTATTATTTGATTTCCTGAACCCTCTTACTTATTACGATTGAGTAAGGTTCAAAGTGAGTTGAATGGAAGCTTAAATTGAAACTAGTGTTAAAAACATTGATTCCTTGTGAATTAATATATACCTTATGATTATTATTTTTTAAGGGTCAAATAAGCCACTGAACTGCACACGAGAATGTAATTAGGCCACTGAACCTAAAAAACCTACAATTGAGTCCCTAAACTAACCAAACTCATTCAATTTGTCTATTTTTCATGTTTCTCAAGTTGCTAATAAGTTACCCTTCCACCTAAGGTGCTTATGTGGCATTTTTTTAAAAAAAATAATTTATTTTTAAATTAGTTTTTTTTTTAATGTTTAATAAATAAAAACTAAAATGATTTATTTTTAAATTAGTCTTTTAATGCTTAATAAATAAAAATTAAAATAATTTGTTTTTTTTAAATAAAATAATTTGTATTTGTTTAAAATTCGCAAATCACCAATACAAACTAATTATTTTAAAATTCAAAAATCACCAAATCACGATATTTTTGATTAAATAATTTGTTAATTGTTTTATTTGTTCCTAGCCACGATACAGTAATTGAATTATATTATACATTTGGCAGTAATTAAATTATTTTAATACTATACATTAGCAGTACTATTGTTAGATGGAAAAAGTAAAATATATTATGCATATCTAATTTGAAGGTGGCTGTGATGAAGTCTGCGAGAAGTCTTCCTGCCATTAATCTCTTTGACCTAAAAAAGGAATCCGATTGTTTAATAGGAAACAAATTAGTAAATTAAATTAAATTATTTTAGTTTTTATTTATTAAACATTAAAAAAAACTAATTTAAAAATAAATGTCACATATGCATCCTAGGTGGAGGGGTAACCTATTAGCAACTTGAGAAACCTGAAAAATGGACAAATTGAATGAAATTTGTTAGTTTAGGGACCCAGTTGTAGGTTTTTTAGGTTCAGTGGCCTAATTGCATTCTTGTGTGTAGTTCGGTGGCCTATTTCACCCTTATTCCTTATTAGAATGAAATGACGGACTGCTAAAGCTGGCCAGCCTGGTTTATTAGGCCGGCCCACTAGGGTCTAATTTTTGGCTGACTTTTGCAGGACGGGCCACAAATTAGGATTTAAGTAACTTTAATCTACCCCACGCGAGTTGGCAGCCCGGCCCGCGAAATGGGCAAATATGTTTATTTTTTTAAAAAAAAAATATATACGGAGTAATTTCAATCGTTGTACCGTGCACCAGGGTACACTTAGCAGTTAGCCCTATCCGCCCCGCGCCTCCCAAAACGAC